GCGTGGTAGCATGGTGGTTAGCACTGTTGCCTCACAGTAAGAAGGTCTTGAGCTCAATACCATGTGTTAATTGAAAAATCTAAATTGCCCATAGGTGTGAAAAGGTGAGGGTAAATGGTTGTCTGTCTCTGTGTGTTAGCCTTGTTACAGACTGGTGACCAGTCCAGGATGTACCCTGCCTCTCACCTTTAGATAGCTGGGATAGGCTCCAGTGACCCCCATGACCCTGAAAAGGAGAAGTGGATGGACGGAGTTGTTTTCTATCCTAAAGATCAAAACATTCAAGGGGCTCAAAGTGAAATGGCCACATCTTACAAGTCTCCAGGTATCATTAAAGATCAGAAATGAGCATTTACTACTCGCATTTAAAGGTTTGCGTCCAAGATGAAACCTAAAGTAAATGAAGAAACACTTGATTTATGCAACTTTTTACATCTTTTTACCTTTATTGTGTTATGGGGATCTTCTTTTTATGATTGCACCTGACCAGTACCTGAAGAGCTTAAATACTGCACTGGCTGTGGAAATCATTTACATCACTGTTATCTGTTTGCTACTATTGGCCATCTCTTTATATCTGCAGACTTTCCCATTGGTTGGCTTTTATCTATAAATTTCTGCTTGGACTGGTGCCTTCTCATCTGCGTTTCTATATGTGTAAAAACCTCAACTAATACGTCATACACTCTTACAGTAATATAAAAATGTTTGTCCCCAAATTTAGTACAGAATATTGCACAGACAAGTGCAATATTTTGCACTTGTCTGTGCAAAATATTGTATTTGTTTCTTTGTTACATGTTTATATGTTGTACTGGTTGTAATTTCCTGTGCCCTCATGGCCAGGTCTCTCTTGGCAAAGAGATTTTGATCTTAATTAGACTTTTGCCCAGATAAATGAATGATAATGAAGTTAAATATAAATATAAATAGAAGTAGCAGAACAATCTAATCTAAAAAAAAAAAGTTTGATTAACAATAAAAGTAATAAATACTTGGAGCCTAAGGACAGATTTAGTTGGAAGGATGCTCTCTGTACACCCTCTGCCTCCCAACTGAGGGACAGCTGCATCTTTAGGACATCACTGCATCATCACTCTTCCTCCAGAATGATCTTTACTTGTTCCAGACCGATCTCGGCCTTTCTCGTCCACACGATTCAGCGGTCATCCCCGCCTCTCCCTTCTCCTTCCAACAGGGATTGCCCCCAGCAATCACCGGAGTAGGCAAGGGATTAGCTCCTCAGATTAAAGTGGCCATCTCCAAACCCTGTCTAATCCTACCATCTGTCAGAGAGCAGCAAACTAGCCAAGACTCTTGCCACTAGGCTAATCAGAAAGTCAAAAGAACACAGCTAGAGGGAGAAAGGCATTTCGAAAACACACTTTTCTGTTTCCCAGCGTGGCAATGGAGGAGACATACCTTCTCAACTATCCAGGTGTCAGGAAGAAAATTCTGGCAGGAGGCAGTGGACCGTTGCCTCACTTTCCACCTGGGACAAAGGTATTCTAAATTGCAGTTAACGCGATAACCTAATCGTTAGGGTAGGTTAGACACTGATTGTGTGTACAATAATAACCATTGTGGAGTAATTCATGATCCACGGGGGGAAAAAATGTCTATCTTGGGTGTCTATTTTTAGCTGTGTGTTGCAGTGCCCACTTCAATTAGATTCTGTTGAATTATTCATGAAGTTCGAAAATTTATCCTGTATCTGGCTCATGCACACAGAGCAAACATTTGGTCAACCAAATTGCAACATGTTTTTTTGGCACTGTATCTTTGTTTCTGTGCTTCCACTGATCTGCTGGTTTCCGACTTTTTCCCTTCCTAGTCACATCCAGCCATATGGCACCGAGCCTGGACACTGTGACAAATATTTTCCATGACAATGCCAGCATGAATTTCCATTTACCTGTGCGCGCGCGTGTGTGGATGTGTGCGTTCCCTCCCCAGTGAGGTGATTCCCATTTGTTCGCACAGTTATCAGACTGTTG